TACTAATACTAATAATAATAATAATAATAATAATAATAATAATAATAATAATAATAATGAAGCAAAACAAAGTTAATTAATTTTATTTATAAATTTCGAACTCCATTTCCTCCAATTCTCACACCTTTCAATCTCCAATTCTCATCAATTTTCTTCACATCTTCTTCAATTCTCCAATTCTCCAACTATGTTTTCAACATGAATCCTTCCGGCTCTGGCTTCTTCCCCGACGATCTCAAGCCTAACGAGCACGCCATGTGGATCTTCCAACAATTCGGGAGTAATCCGTCGATGTTCGAGACGCAACCATCAGGGTACATCTATGAGCGGGAGTCGGTTCCGGAGACTCAACCGGAACCATCCGGCACCAAAAAAGTGCACGCCAGAAGAGCCACAAAGCGAAAGGCACTCAAGCAATGGCCGAGGCAGAACGGTCAATCCAAAAGTGGTCGCTGGAGGAAAAGTGTGCTTGTTGGCGTCATCTTGGGTTGACGTCTCCGAGCATCCTATCGTTGGTAAAAATTATATGTTTTTTAATATATTTATTTTTTATTTATATAATTGTCTTATATATTTGTGTTAAAAAAAATTCGTGTTATACTTTTTTAAAGGTTCCGAGCAAACGAAGAATGCGATGTGGGATCGTATCGAGGAGAAGTTCTTTACGACAATGAACAATGACGTCTCCTACTGTAACACCCTAATCCGTCCAGGTCTGCAGCCCCTTTCGGACTAAAGTATTAAGTTGGAAATCGTAAAAATTTAAAACATTTCAAACACTTTTATTTATCACAATAATATTTTTCTTATCATAACAGTATAGAGTTTTCAATATTGCGGAAGCTTAACCAATCATAATCACAAACATAATTTATTTATATTCTTTAATTCAAAACCATCACATCCATTCCGACTATCTCGCCTCCGTCTGCCTCCAGGATCACGTCACATCATTCTATTGACCTGCGTGTAGCAAATAAAACACACTACACGCTCAGCGGTAAAGCTGAGTAAGCATATCTAATGCGTCGAACATCCACATAAATTGAGTCTCAATTCATAATCAACCATTTGATATCATGCACACAATATATAATTCATTCATGATATTTTCAATATTTCAATATTCAACATTCATATTCAATATTCAACAATATCCTTAACTAAACTTAGTCTAAGGCCAATCTTTGATGCTTACCAACTCTTAAACTATTTCTAGTTTAAGGTACTTCTAACCAACTCTTAAGCTAGGTCATTAGTTTAAGGTACATATTCCGATTGATTTACCAAGTCTTAAACTAGCCTTCGCTTAAGGTACAAATCCAGGAAAAGCCGAACAGTAGAATACTAACTGTCGGGTTGGGTGGTATCCGCAAACGAGTGCCTCAAGTTTGGTTTGTAGATCCCGTACGTACATTTTAACCCAGGCCACCGAATACTCATGATTATACCCGCAAGGCCTATTTCTAAGCTATCTTAGAGGTATTCTAGATAATCTTAGAAACCAAAGTCAACCTAGGTATATCTTAGAGTTCTTCTAGATATCCTTACAATCCAAATCATTTCATAATCATCAACATATTCATTTCAATTCATAATTTAATACTTGATAATCATTTTAATCAGTGGTTTCCACAAGCCATAATCATCATAATAATCATTCATCATAATCATCAACATAACATTCGATAGCAAATAGCGGC